ATTTAGCTAGATGCAGGTTCCCTTCAATAACAAGACGAGGCTACGTATTGAGGGTTAAGCAGGAACTGATTTAATGGGCACACAAGCATTTCTTTTAGACAACTTTCCCCACAAGGTTACCACCCATGTGGACCTTGTTGGGCACCAAAAACACAAACTCAACAACCAATCATTTACAGTTACACAGTTAAACACCATTCATTACAGTAAATTCCTCCCCTCTGAAATTAAAATACCAAACAGTCATGCTTTTTATTGTCGTGTCTTTGCTGGTCGTGTGCCGCCTCGTTCATGGATTATTTTTACTGAACGCTGTCTTGTTCGTATAAATCTATACGAAACTAAGTGGTCCTGGAAGTCTCAGTGGTGTTCAGGAGTTTGAGTGTCCGCAACTAGTTCCAGACACTCGACGACCAAACACCACTGGACACGTTCAACAAAACAAGATGGCTGCCGCCACATGTTCGTACATACGAATCTACGGCCACCCAGTGAACCACTTAGAACGTTTGCGGTTTGTGGTCTGGCACAGAGTCAAGGAGTTAATTAGCAGCACATGCCTGGGCTGGGTGGTCTCTGGTTCAGTAGTTTGTTCGTTCATACGAATGGGCTAGCAGTGTCATTCGTTTTCCCATTCGTATGTGAAATATAACAACAGTAACAAATCCAGTGGTTATAATGTTTCAAGTCTGTTGGCCAGGCAATACCAGGGGATCTGTTACAGAAATCCCTTGCAAATGTACCCGTCCTGGCCACTCCTAATCCAAATAAACTTTTTCTCATCCACTCAGATGCCTCCATGTTTGGATTGGGAGCAGTGCTGAGCCAGGTCGGGGATGATGGCGGAGAACATCCTGTAGCTTACCTCAGCAGAAAGTTATTACCCAGGGAGGTAAGCTATGCCGCCATCAAAAAGGAGTGTCTGTGGTATGTGGGCCCTTAAAAAAACTTCAGCCATACATCTATGGACAACAATTTACCCTACTCACGGATCACAACCCATTTGGTATTGCTTAACCGGGTCGCTGGGGACAACGCCAGGCTGTTACATTGGAGCCTGGCCTTACAGCCATATGACTTTACCATCCATTATTCACCCGGTAAGCAAAATGGGAAGCCAATGAGTTATTACGGCAAACAGTACTCCCCTGGACATCCCCAAGCCAATTCGTAAGGATCAGACTGTATATGCCGGCTTGTAGTTAAGGGGGAGCTGTGTGGCAGAACATACCATTCCTTTCGACTGTTTTACTTTTTTATACCCCATTAGAACCTTCACACCAGTGAACCTAAGTGCGAAACCTCAAGAGAAATGATTAACGAATGCTTCCATTGTTGGCCACCATATTGTGTAACCGAATACACGTGGTTGACAAAAGAATAGTGGACATTTTGTCTCCAGAACACGGGCAGTGGTACTTGGTCATCGATTGCCTGGAACTCTGTTCAGCTGGGCACTTGCACGAACTCCGGCAAAGATTATACCGCTGCCTGTCCCAATTCACAACTAGCTATTCGAACAACGTTCGGGAGATGAGAACTACCGACTGGTGGGAGCATTCGCTCCCTGAAACCAAGGGAATACCTTATATGATGTTCGCACAGGCCAGGACACCTATTTCTCTGGAACAGTTTTGGGCTTTCACCTCATGGCCAGCCGGGAACTCATTTAATGGCAGCCACAACTGGCCTTATATGCAGGTCCCCATGTAAGGACCTGAGAGTAGACTACAGTAAAAACATGCACACAATTACATTGGCTCTCAGGTCCAGTACACTCCCATACAAGATAGGATAATCCCTCCCCTGTGTCTGAGAGATAATTGCATCAAGCACTGTACTAAACTCAATTATCTCCAGGCACAGAAAACATAAAGAGAATAAAATAAAAACCTTTAAAAAATGCATAAAACCCCCTAAAAGTCACATCTCCCGATAGCCCCGATCTAAATGACTAACATATCCAAAGATCACCCAGATCGGTTCTGGGGTTCAGGATTTTCCTGGAAGTCCTAATTTGACAGACCGCACGCATGGTCCTATGCCCAAAATAGTTCCATAGAATCACGGCTAAGTGCCGCTGGGGACCGAACGGGAACCGCAAAGTCTTCATGC